TAAATTAGGGACGGCTAGCGCAGATAGCCCTCGTGTAGCTCTGCGCGAAATTTCAAAACAAACAAACAAACAAACAAACAAACAAACTAACGTGCGAGCTTTTTGGTGCATTTTGTACAACCTTAGTAGTCAATAGTAAAGGATTTAAAACGTTGTTTGAACTGAATTTTTACTCTTTAAAGTGCTTTTTTGCCTGAACGTTCTTTTAGGGTTTCGTGCAATTCCTTGCAATCCCTATTATGAACCACTATCGTGGTTCATGATTATTATTACTATCATTATAGACTCTTCTAATCCTTCAAACTCCCCAAGGGACTAGATAAAGAAAGTATGTTAAAAAACGTAATATTGCCCTTAATTAATGCTCCCTGGTATTTTTATAAAGCCTACCTTGTGTGACAGCAATAGTAATCCAAGAAAACAAATTAAGTTTGTGAAGTTTAAAACGGGAATAGAAAAAATTTTTTGGCATTACTAATAACTTCGCAGTTTTAATTGATGGAAGTTTTTAGTCTGTACGTGAAGGTTTCCTCTATATAAAGTTATAGATGTGGTATTTACACTGATGAATGTGGCTTCTCACTGTAGTTTTCGCACTCTAGGCAGTATTGTTAACATAAGAACAAAAGCATTGAGTGAAACTACAATGTAAACAGAAAGCGCCCTCATACATTTTGAAAGGTGGTAAAATAAATAAATTAGACTTTTGGAGATATATCACCTTAAAAAACTATAGTTTAATCTTATTTCCTTGGCGACGCTTCGAGCAAACGGCCCAGCTTTTTATAAAGTTTTTAAAACAACTTTCATTTATTACCTTACAAATTGATTTAGTTATTTCTTTATTTGTTTGTAAACTTGCTCTTAGTTACTGTTTTTATATTTTTAATAATTTTCGTTACCTTTTTTAATCAACGGCTTTGTTCTCCAGCTTTATTATATTGTTTAACCCTCGTGGTCCTATTTAAGGTGATTTATCTCCAAAAGTCTAATTTTTTCATACATTTTGGAATTCGTCCTTTGTATATGAAGAAATATTTCAGACGAAATTGTGTAGAAAAACTGACTTGATTACTAAAACAAAAACGTACCAACCGCAATGGGAGCTTGTGAACGGAAAAATAGTTAATTTGAGGGGCGGAAAGCTTGTTTAACTGATGCTGTATAAACCATGTGTAATTAATTCCAAAGTAAACTCATTCACTTGTAGTTTTCTTTCGTAAGCTCTTTAAAAACCAGAGCTACCGTTAAAAAGTTCCTTTAGTTACCATGGTAACAATATTATGTTTAAAACTTTCTGGCACAAAATATTCAAAATGTATGAGAAAGCCGTTACGCAAGCGAATTTGTATAACAAAACCTTTTCTTCAAGTTCGTGAACACAGTTAAAAACTTGAGATTTTAGGAACAGTAATTTATGATCCTCGTAATATGCAAACACAAACGTGATTTGATGATGGCGGTTTTTAATAATCTTGGAAATTAGTGCAATGTGAAAATTAGCCAAGCATAACAGGATCGTCAACACATACGTTCCGAAACTAGAAGACCTCAACATCATAACAAAAAGGTGTAGCAAATTTTAGCCAAACGTAAAAAGATCATCAACACTTACGTTCCGAAACTAGAAGGAAACCTCAACACCATAACAAAGGGTGTAACAAGTTTTCGTAAAATACTTTCATTAACCTACTGAAAATGCTGGTTATTCGTACATAATCCAAAGCTTTATGGAAAATGGGTTTATTGAAAAATCAGTTAATAGCGGTAAAGCTATCTGCTATCTGAATTGTTGTTGAATTTTGTGATGTAAAAACACACATCTTAAAGCACTATTTTTGTAAAACGATCTTAAACTTTTATTTTGAATGTTTATCAATTTTAGTTCTTTGGGTCGTGAGAGATCACATGCCTCTTTTTTAATAAAATATGATATCAAAAAGGAAACATAATCAAGAATTTTGGGAGTCACTTAAGCATCACACGATTCCACAAACAATATATTATTCTTATGGTTTTACATTTAAACCTCAGTTGTTAGTTGTCAGTTGTGGGTTAGTTGCAGGTATCTCGTAATCGGTGTTTACACCGCTGTTCTGTTAACAGTATCAACGATCTGTGCCAGAATAATCTTTTGTTATGTGGTTCAATGAGACGTGAAAAGTTAACAGTTTCTACTTTAAGAAAAAGAATAGTGTGTTATGACAGTTAAAACAAACTGGGAAAACGTAACGTTTTGTTACAAAAGGATAATGTTTTGTGATCAATTCAAACAAACTGTAGAAGAACAGACGTTTGTTACGAGTTTTGACGAATTGTGAAATACAAATGTTTCGTCAACATTTTTTACGAGCTGTGAAAGAATAATGTGTCATGAAGAGTTTCAACGAACTATGAAAGGATAATGTGTCATGAAGAGTTTCAAATAACTATGAAAGAATAATGTATCGTGAAGAGTTTCAACGAAGTATGAAAGGATAATGTGTCGTGAAGAGTTTCAACGAACTATGAAAGGATAATGTGTCGTGAAGAGTTTCAACGAACTATGAAAGGATAATGTGTCATGAAGAGTTTCAACGAACTATGAAAGGATAATGTGTCATGAAGAGTTTCAACGAACTATGAAAGGATAATGTGTCATGAAGAGTTTCAATGAGCTATGAAAGGGTAGTGTTTTGTGTTCAGTTTCAACAAGCTGTAGAAGAATTGTTTTTAGTTTCGACGAAGAGTGAAAGAAAAATGTTTTTTGACTAGTTTCTTCAAGCTGTGAAATAATGGTGTCTTGTGAACAGTTTAGATGATCTCTGAAAAAATAGTATTACGTTAACAGTATCGGCGATCTGTGGACAGAATAGTGTTCCGTGTATAATTTTCCCGAGTGTTAAAGAATTGTTTTTAAAACGTTTCAATAAATTTGTTTTTATTAATAACTTCAGCGAACAATAAAACAATGGTTATTTATTGATAAGAGGATCATACACTTATGATTTTAATTTGAGTAGCAAAAGTTTATTGTTATATTTGTAATCGATGATTTTTTTCCATTAATTCTTATGATTGTATTCACCGTTTTGATGGCACTGTAAGTCTAATTACTAGAATGACTTTAAAATAGACGAAGTGTTTAAGTCAAAATTACAAGCACAAATTAAAACCCCTTTTAAACACAAAATGCTTAAGCATGGAAGTCAAGTGACTAATAAACCATGCACTTACTAACCCAGTACTTACGTATAGTGAAATTTATCAACAGCAACAGACATGTGTCGCGGAAGCTGAGGACAAGAGTACATGTTTCGGTCGTCCTCTGGGATCATGTCTACGTCATGGAAAACATAGCAGTCATAATTTCTTTCATTCAGTGATTCTCGAACTCCTGCGTTCATTAGAACACCTTTGTTGAAGGTGTCGTTTCCGAACTACAAGACCAAAAGAGTTTTAAGACTCATTAAGAAAACATTACTAAAGTCTGCATATAAAGCTAATTAATTTAAAGTGTCGTTTCCGAACTACAAGACCAAAAGAGTTTTAAGACTCATTAATAAAACATTACTAAAGTCTGCATATAAAGCTAATTAATTTAAAACACCAAGAAAATAGTAGGTCGTCAAGAAATGAATGTCATGTACCTTCATTAACCACCCCCTAAGAAACGTACATCACGTATAATAGTTAAACGAACCGCCTAAACGTCACGCTAGTGTAGCCTATATAATGTGTAAAGTTTAGTATACTCTAATCCCTTATGGTGATGGTACACGACGAGACACAAATTTGGCATGTAATGCTGTTTGAATACAAGAAGAGAAACACCGCCTCTGTAGCCACAAATAATGTCAAAGAAGTTTATGGAAATGTTTTGAACGTTGGTTAAGTGTCAATGGTGGTTTAGAAAATTTCGTTCAGGTGACTTTAGTCTTAAAAATTGTGATGGAAGGGACCGACATGTTGGAACTGATGACGCTTGTTGAGTCTAACCCAAGGCAACACACTCGTGAAGTGGCCCTGAAATTGCATGGTTCTCATGAAACAATACGTAAACATCTAAGGAATATCGGAAAACTCCACAAAGGTGTTTGGGT